AAGAGTAATTTACCAAAATATGATTAAAACATAATGACTTTCTCAATTTAGGAGCATATGTTTTAAAGATTACATACTGCAAGTAAAATAATACTCTCTCCGTTTCACAATTTTTTTTTTCTTTTTTTCTCATTCATTCTAAAAAATCTTTTTCATTTCCACTTAAAAAATTATTTTTACCTTTATTAATTCTTAACTTACCTATCACATATACTATTAATCTATTCATCACACCCTAGACCATTTTTACAAAATGTCAAGACCAAATTAAAATATATATTCTTCTTAAATCTTCTTAATGTCAATATTATAAAGGTTTTGTAAAAAAATATGCATGTGAATGCCTCAACCATACTTTTCTATCATTTTGGCGTATAATATTATAATTAATTATTCTTTGTCATTCGGTTTACTTTTGTTTTTCTAAAATGGATGAACCTCATTCCCAAGGCACTCTGTAAATTAGACTTTTATGGTAAAACTAGTAGCAAAGAGTTTAGTCCGAACCTGGTACTTGCAGATGTCGTATATATGCATAGCATATTTACTCCCCATCGTAGTAGCCAGAAATCAAACTCGGGTCTACCCCTTAGAACTCTCCGCCTTTGTCAAGCGTGCAACGTCCGGCCACCAACATATAATTACCTTTGTTTTTTTAAAAAAAACTACTCCGTAAAAAGGATGCTGTTTTTTGAAGAAAGAAATGGGAAAATGTTTTAGCTAGGCAGTGACATGATTGGACGGGGATGACTATATTCAGCAAATAAATTACACAGTGAACAGAATGGAGTTGCTCTCAAGCTATAGCTAAGAAATGCATGCAAGGTGTAGTAGTTATAGCATATCTTAGTATAGCTAGCTGAATATATACATATATACATACATATAGCTTAATTATTGTATTGATTACATAATGTATGTAGCTATACTCCTACTCCTACTCTGCCTATTAGCACCCACTTTGTCTCTAGTAGTTCTTCCGTCCAAAAATGTAAGCAACATTTCGAACGACGACATTCAAAATACTACGAAATACTCCCTCCGTCCCAAAAAGAATGGGACGGTTTGACTTTTTGGGAAATTAAGGGAGAGATATTTTGGTATTGATTTTCCAAAAATACCCTTGATGTGATGGGTAAAAGTAGGATCTGATGGGTAGATTATTAGGAAAAAGGTATGATGTGATAGGTAGGGTATGAAAAAGTAAGGGGTAAAAGTGGTTTTTTAATAGAAATGTAACGGACTTTACGGGACGTAGTTTTTTCTAAACGTAACAAACTTTTTGGGACGGAGGGAGTATTTCTTTTAATATCATTTTATTTACAAATTAAAAGAGAAATAAAAAGTAAAAATTATACTGTTGAAAAAGATCAAAAGCTCTACAAAGATAATTAAATATGACTAGATCAAAATATTTTATTGTTATATCAAATGTTCAACCAAAATGAGTAAACAGATAAAAATTATCGGAATAAAAAAGATGGAGACATGAGGGATCCCTGGGCTAGCTGGCCCTGCAAAGTGGGTAACAAAAACAGCCCTATTTTGACAACTTTGATGGTTTTGCTGAGGGGACAGACAAAACCCAGAAATTAGGGCAAATAAATGCTCCCTTAATAGTATTTTACTCCCTATTTTAATTTATTCCCCTGGCCTGGCCTCCTTCTCTCTACTATACTACGTATTGTACAATCACCAAGATTTAATTTGTTTTTTAAGAACACTAAAAAAAGAGTGTTAAGTACAAAGATATACTCCCTTCTTTCTTTAAAACTCCTTCTCTTTCGTTTTTTTTCAATTTTCTAAAATACTTCCATTTTCTACTCCCTCCATCCTAAAACTTTCTTCTCAGAGCATTATTCCAACTTCACGAGAATTTATATTTATTTGTGTTTTTTCATGGCCTATATGATAAAATAAAATATTCTTGTCACCACTTGTTTTGTTGAACTTTTGATGTAGTTTTTAAATATGTATGTTTTATTTTTTATTTCTATACCAATATTTAAATAAAATAGATTGAAAAAACTTGGAATTTTTCTTCGTTTTGCGCAACGGGAAGAAAGTTTTAGGATGGAGGGAGTATTAAAAANCTTCTCAGAGCATTATTCCAACTTCACGAGAATTTATATTTATTTGTGTTTTTTCATGGCCTATATGATAAAATAAAATATTCTTGTCACCACTTGTTTTGTTGAACTTTTGATGTAGTTTTTAAATATGTATGTTTTATTTTTTATTTCTATACCAATATTTAAATAAAATAGATTGAAAAAACTTGGAATTTTTCTTCGTTTTGCGCAACGGGAAGAAAGTTTTAGGATGGAGGGAGTATTAAAAAACCACTTTTACCCCTACTTTTTTCATACCCTACCTATCACATCATATTTTTTTACTAATAAACAAACTATCACATCTTACTTTTATCCATCACATCAGGGACAAAATTGAAAAGTCAACCGAAATTACACCTTCCTTATTTTTACCAAAAGTCAAAATGGGAAGGGTTTATTAAAGAAACGGAGGAAGTATATGATTGTTTGAAAATTTATTCAGTGTGATATTCTTTTTGTGTGGAGCAGACACGAGAGGAAGGGTGGGTGTTCAACCTTTTTTTAAAGGATGTTCTTAGCTTTTTTTTCAAAAAAATTAATTAAGACTGTATATATTCTTAATTTTATTAAGAATTAAATGAGAATATAAAGTTTAAAATTATGTGCTTGACATTTATTGATGTGAAAAATCGAGACAATAATTTCATTAGGTAATACTAATTTTCTTAAAAAATTATTTTCTTCATCCCTGGTAAACTTTTTCCACTTTTTTACACTATGTTTGGTGGCTCAAGGAATTTAGAAAGAGAAGAAAAGAAAATGAGTTTCTCTCGTTTTCCTCACAAAAATGGGAGAAATTTGATTTTCGCTTCCTTTAGTAATATTTGCCTCCTCTGTTTCTTTTCTTTTCTTTTTCTCTTTCTAACCAAATAAGAAAATAGTTTTCCATCTCGTTTTCCTTTCTTTTTCCTTTTAAATTTATTGAACCAAACAAACTGTTAATGCCGATCTCGAAAAATGATCTTCGTTTTTCCTTTTCTTTTTTTGGTAATGTGTGACTCACAAGATTTTTATCTCATGTAATTAAAAAAAACTCTAATCATACACTTCTTGAATTTTCAATAATGTATCTTGAATTCAAAATATGAATTTTATACAGAATGAAAATTAAATCTCAGAGTATATTGATAGGGGGTTGGGATGTGATATGGCATGGCATGGCATAAGAAAGATACTGAGCATGGAAATAAAAACAGGAATCTACCAAATATGCCCTTTCTTCTCCACTGATTCCTTTCCCTTTTCCATGCATCATCATCCATCCCAATTTCTGTCTTACATGTTCAGATATTCCTTTTTTTAAATAAAAAAATCTCAGGACAATGGGCCTTTAATTTTGGGAACTGATCATCAGCTCCATTCATGACTATGTTATAATTTCGTTTTTATTTACACTTTGTACTGATGAAATTAATTAAATTTCATGTGTTTGAATTGATACAATTTTTTTGAGAATAAACATTTGAATCTTCATTCATTAAAAAAATGTAAAATCATATCCCTCCCTAGCATCCCAAAAACACTAATCCAACACTCTTACATTCTATATTAATTGTTTAAGATAACTTTCTGAGAAATGAAAATTAATGCATGAATATAGACATATTTTATGTAGAAATATTTGCAGTAAATAGCACTAAGACTTAAGTCATTTCTCTAAATAGCACTTAGATTGTTTTCTTCTTTAAATAGCACTCTGTAATGTCCATAATGACTAGTGATGGCAAACATTCACTTGAATAATGACTAATGGATAATGACTAAAAGTACTACATTGAGAAAAAAACATATGTAGTGCTATTTAGAGAAAGTCATTATGTTTTAGTACTATTTAGGTAAATTCCCCTTTTATGTATACATTCATTTATTTTGGTCCAATTTGACTTTGTCAGTTCAAATTGAATAAACACCAACTAAATCAACAATTATAGAATATTCCATATTAAATTCGTACTATTGCATATCCACAAAATGACCAAAATAAATTTATAAAAAAAATTCACAAGATAAATTATCTAATAAAATCATGTACGGAAAATATATTAATAATGTCATATGCAGAATAATTTCATCTAATGGAGTATTCAAAATTTGTCATTCATTCGATTTAATCAAATGCATGTAAAGATCAGAGAGCATTTATTCATTTTAAGTAAATATATGAAAACATTAACACTATGTTTGGTTCAAGGAATTTGAGAGGAAAAGGAAAAGAAAATGAGAAAGAAAACATTTTTTCTTATTTGGTTATAGAGGAAAAAAAAAGTGAAAGGGAAAAAAAATGAGAAAGCAAAATGTATTAAGAGAATGAAAAACCAAATTCCACCCATTTTGGTGAGGAAACTAATGGAAAACCATTTTCTTTTCTTTTCCTTCCAAATTCCATGAACCAAACATAGTGTAAAGAAAGCACGTGGATTTCCAACTTGTAATCCAAATTATACACAACAAATTAAGGGTTTTCACTAAGGGCCTGTTTGGAAATAGAATTAGAGACTAACATTAACGTTTTGAAAAATGATATCTACGGGCGGCATGCATTTAACTTTAGCATTTTCAAAATAATATGTATTGTTAAATTTTAATTCAAACGCTAACGCTAATATCTCTAATTTTATTCCCAAACATTACCCTAATACTCTTTTGATTGACAACCAACATCAGACCAGATAATATACATAATTAATCATCTATATAGAAGCCCCAACTTAATAAATTGAGTGCAGATTGATTACTACAAATATCATCCAACTACAAAACCACAATATATATATGGAAACTGGAAGTTTTATATTTCAACATTTTAATAAACCTTTAATTAAAACAAATACTAACCCTAGTAGAAGAGAGCTCCATGCCATGCAATTTTCATTTCCTTGATTGCCTAGGGTTAGGGTTTTTTCATTAATTACTCCTATTATTAAGCAATAATAATGACAATTAATAATGATGACGTAGCTAGCTGAGAGTGATGGTAATCAGTGCCAAGAAGAGACAGAGAAGAGTGGTTGGTTTTGCCATCCAAGCAAGAAACAATTCGAATCGGGGGGCATGACCCGAAGCTGGTACCCTTCCGAAGGGTAATGGAGCCTTAGTAGGAGCTTGGCCTGGGACAGGGCAAACGGGCTGAGCCCCACATTTCTGAACCCGGAGCCCCGCATCACCTCCTCCCACCACCCGAACCTCTCGTGCCGCTCTCCCCTCTTCTCCCCCTCGGCCGCTACGATGTCCGCGATCTCGCCCCCGAACCACACCTGCTCCACCGCCGCCCGCTCCCTGCTGCTCGGCGGCAGTGTCGCCTCCAGGGAGTCGAACACCGCCGCGTAGTGGTCCACCGCCTCCACGAACCTCTTCAGGAAGAGGGGGTGGTTGTGGCTCGCCTCCCTCTCCGCCACCGTCACCACCTTCGGCCTCATTTCCTTTATCTGGCAGAGGAAGAGTCGGAGCCGGTCCCCACTCTTCAGGAGGCGGTGGAGGTAGAGGGTGCAGTTCACCGCTAGGGTTTCGTCCGGGAGGAAAACGATGGACGACAGCGGCGGGTCCCCGCCGTTGTCGTCCGCCAGGACGGGGTGGAACTGGAACCTCATCCCTAAGGAGTGGGCGAATTTCGCGAGGCGGTCCCCGGTCCTCCTTAGGGTTTCCAGGTCCCGCCCCGTCCCCGTGATCCGTAGCGCCGGGGGCGGGTACCTGTCGGCGAGAGCCTGCATCAACGGCGGCCACTGGACGCCGTGCATGATGTCGAAGTCCACGACGTGGACCGCGCGCCGTTGACCGCGGTCAACGGCCTCGAGAATGGCCTGGTTGGCGGTGAGGTGGATGAAGCGGAGGAAGGGCGTGACCTGGTTGAGGCACAGGTAGGAAGACTGGAGGGCGGCCGGGTCGGGCGGCGGGAGGGGGATGACGTGGCGGTGGAGGCGGTGGGAGAGCGCCCGGACGAACTGGTGCGCCAGCCTCTCGGCGGAGTCGCCGAGAGGGGAAGCGTTGGCGGACAAGAAGGAAAGTAGGCGGTGGGCGGCGGAGAGGTCAGATCTGGAAACAAGCTCGGCGCAGGTGAGGAGGAGCTGCCTCAGCTGGGTGGCGGGCGGCGCAGACAGCCGGCCGTACTGCAAGCCGGCCGCCACGCCATCAATATCCGTAGTCCGATGATGATGAACAAGTGGGCGAAGATGATTGGTGTTGACGGCATCAAAGTGATCATGGGATCTTGATGACGACGAGGAAGAACCAAAGGAGCCTAACATCATGTCCATGTCTAAGTGTAGTAGCATATATATATATGTATAGACACACGGCTAGTAATAACAATATATAATAATAACACAATCTAAGAGAAGACAGATTCGATCAACCAAAAGAGGTAATTAATTTAAGGATGGAGTTGAATTGGGATTTGGTTGAAGCAGTAAATTAAAAAAAAAACCCAAATAGAGAGAGAGAGATATGAAGGGGGATGATGATGATGATGATGAGAGGGCAAAGAGAAACAGTGAAGAAGAAAACTTTGGTGGAGCTGAGGTTCTAAACTCTATTTGTCCAAATAGGGTATAGTGGGAGTACTATTTTATATGATAAATGCTATAGATACATCAAAGGTGTACTCCAAATATCCCTCACCCCTCCTTGTCCACTAAAAGAGCTAAAAAATTTAAAAAAATTAAGTAATAAAAATCAAATAAAAATGTGTGAAGGAAAAGAGGGTGGTGTATATTTGGGGTACATCTTTTGGTGTACTCCTAGCATTACTAATTTTATACTCCTTGCCATTATTGTCCTCCCATTTCTTCGGTTAAATAAATCAAATAATGTTGTTTAAGTAATACTACCTCCGTCCCAGAGTATTTGTCCACTTTCATTTTTACACACCATCCAATGCACTTCTTTAATCCATTTTATCTTATAATTTGTATATTAAAAAATTATAGAAATTATATATTAATAATCTATATGTTAAGACAAATCAAACAAGATCACACATGACTTTATTTAGGCTTACACATTGAGAGAATTTGATGAGTCAAAGTGCTTAGATCAACAGTTCCAAAAGTCAAAACTGGACGAATACTTCGGGACGGAGGGGGTATTAAGAATTTTATCCCAAGTCTACATTGGCACAAAGTATTAGTTTACTTAAAAAAAATTATACTGATATTTTTTTATAAATGTAAATCATCACACTAGTCCAAAATGTCGGTGCATTCTTTTGGGATACAAATTTTGGTGTAAAAATAGCTTAATTCTAAAATTATCTCTCCCTTTTTGGATTAAATTAACATTCTGAATTTAATTACAAGATTTAATTAGAGCAATGTTGATAGGTTAAAAGTGAATGTTTGAAATTTACGGAGTATTTAAAATTAAAAATAAATTATGGTCAATGTATCTTTTATTTTAATTATTTAGAAAAGTAAATAATTAGTATGGATATTATCTTGGAAAAACCTAATGGATTCAAACTCAACCAAAAAGTGTGTGCTCTATGTATTATTACCCTTAAAATAGCTTGGAGCGTTTCCCTTCTTCCATGTAGGGCTGTAAACGGATAGCCGAAAATCCGATTACCGTCCTCATCCGTATCCGTTTAAAGAGGAAATATCCGCATCCATTTTAAACGGATATTATCCGTATCCGATTAAGGATATCCGATTACTAAACGGATACGGATCTGGTAATTGTATATCCGATCCGTTTAAAATCCGATCCGAATATGCATCCGTTTAAATAACCGTTTATCCAAATATCCGATCCGTTATATATAGTTTTTCCTAATTTTTTATGTTTATAATTTGTTTCTCTATTGATATTTCAAAATATAAGACATTTTTATATACAAAATAAATGTGTAGACACAAAAATAAATACAGACATATAGAAATATGTGTATATGTGTGCTGTGTATATCGTTTTATCATATGAAGTTATCGTAAAATATTATAAATCATGAAAACAAAGAAAATAATAATCTCATACCAACATATAGTTGATTTAATAATAGTTTGACTTTAATCTAATTTAAAATTAAGGTATTGTTTAATTTGATTTTAAAAATTAGAAACGGATACGGGTTTATCCGATATCCGACAGATGCGGATACGGTTTTGATTTTCAGTATCCGTCAAGATCCGTATCCGAATTCGATATCCGACAAAAATAAACGTATACGGATTTGGTAATGGCACATCCGATCCGATTAATATCCGTTTACACCCCTACTTCCATGGAAGAGAGGTCATATTTACGTGTTGTACTTTCACAAAATTCTTTCACACTAATTTTTTTATAGGGTAATAAGAATATTTTAATTCTAAACAAAAATATTTTTGGAATAACTAAAAATGGAAGGGTTTTTTTAGGAAAGTCTGAAGTGATTGAGTACATACAAATATGATATGATATGGATTTTGAAAAATTGCAAAAAATGATATGAGTTTAAAAATTTCAAATGAAATTGATTGAAGAGATTTAAAATCATGATTTAATTAGTGACTGAAGCGTGTCGCCGGCTAAAAGGGTGGTTGACGGTGGCAGTGGTACCTGGTGCCGGGAATGGTCAAGATTGAGGGAGATATCAAATCTCCATGCAAATATCTCCCAATTTTGAAGGATATCAAAACCTTTTATTTTGATGACTCAACAAACACAAAAATAGATTATTATTGCATGATGGGTATGAACACATTGGTACCACTTGGTAGGTTCACAGGCGCCCGAGAGGTACCTAAGCTTGGCCCCCACAAGACCTTGCCAGTCCCGGTAGTCTGACCGGGCGGATGTTAGGGGGTCAGAATTGAGAGATCATGACTTCATCCGCAAAAGGCTTGAAGACTGGCCGGGAGAATGCCTTGAGATGAACAGTAGCGATGAGACGTGTTTTTCTATTCTCATAAATATGAGTAAAAGCCTCATTATTAGGACATGCAATTAATAAACTGCACGGCTTGTAAACTTGTTATTATGTGTTCCCATCTACAGTCTTTTTGCTTATTCAGACTTAGTATTTACGTTGGTTTTACACCATCATCGGGAAAAATAGAAACTCATATATCTTAGGCTCACCAAGAGGCTGTAAGAGTAGATCAATAAATATGGATAGGAAAGGGACATATTTTTAAGAATAATACTCCCTCCGTCCGGAAATAATCTTCCCACTCTACGTTTTTTTCATCCGTAAATAATCTTCCCACTCTACGTTTTTATCAACACACTTCCAAAAATACCCCTCTTTCTTCTTCTACTCAATCACCCCTACCCACGTTACCATGCCCTCCCCCATCTTTTTTCTTTTCTTTCTCTCTCTCTTCCCCTCCCCTTCCTTTTCTTTCTCCAATAGATTTGTACTGGATCTTTTTCTTCTCGTGGGGCGGCGGTGGGCTGGGTAGAGATGGTGGTGGGCGGCGGTGGGCTGGGCAGAGATGGTGTTGGGCGGCGGTCGGCTCGGCAGAGATGGTGGGGGGCGGCAATGGACTGGGCAGGGATTGTGGTGGTCGGCAGTGGGCTGGGCAGGGATGGTGATACCAGTAAGGGTAGTTTAGACATTTCAATATGAGGGTCAACACCCACTAAAAATAAGGAAAAGTCAAACCGGTAAGTTTAATTCCGGACGGAGGGAGTAGTAATGTGTCACCACATTAATGGTACCATTGATGCATTCATATTTCGCACAGATTATTATCATTCGTGTCGCAGAGATAAATAAAGTCTATGTTACTACTTGTTCACTTTTGACTTTTGGAACTGTTCATCTAAGCACTTTGACTCATAAAATTCTCTCAATGTGTAAGTCTAAATATAGTCATGTGTGATCTTGTTTGATTTGTCTTAACATATAGATTATTAATAAATAATTTCTATAATTTTTTAATATACAAATTACAAGATAAAATGGATTAAAAAAGTGAATTGAATGGTATGCCAAAAGACAAGTGGACAAAGACAGTGAGACAGAAGGAGTATTTGTCTAAGCATGAGTGTAGCACCCTAGCATGACTCTATTTTTATTAAGAGCTTAAGGAGCGGGAAATGATGGGTAGGGGGGACGGGAGGGGTAAAATCATGAGTCGTGAGGTAGGTAAGCTAGGGGTAGTTTATAATTATTAAGCTAGCTGATGAGGGTGAGCTAAATATGCGCATACATAATAATTAGCAGTAGCATAAATATATATGCATATAGATACTCCCATCGAATCCTATATATATATATATATATATATATATATATATATATATATATATATATATATATATATTATGGGGTTCCAGAAATGGTATCTCCGGTCATCCCAAAGTAAAGCTGGGAATTAATAAATAAAAAATTACTCTTACACACACATTTATAATAATTACTCTGTACATTATATTACTCCCTCCGTCCCGTGAAACATGGGACATTTGCTTTTTAGGAGGGATTTAAGGGAGTGTATTTTGGTATTGAATTTCCAAAAATATCCTTTGATGTGATGGGTAAAAGTATGATTTGATGGATAGATTATTAGTAAAAAGGTATGATGTGATAGTTAGGGTATGAAAAAGTAAGGGGTAAAAGTGACTTCTTAATAGAAATGAGAAGTGTTTTGTGGGACGGATAAAAAAAGAAAGGGGAAGTGTTTCACGGGACGGAGGAAGTATGATTCAGTGGAACTATTTATGCAACGAATTAACGGCAGCTCTAATAATTACTGCTGTATGTGATCGAGACTTTTCACAGTGGTAATTAATTAGCTGCAGTAATTAATTAATGACAATACATTGCCATGCCCAATCACGCAGCAGCACATATCACTTCACGCTTTCGTTCCCAAGATCGATCGATAGATCAACTCCATCCATCAATTCTCGATTGCCTTTCCCTAATTATGTCTTTTTAATTTCCTGCCCTATTTATCGTCTAAATTTGATTTTACTGAGTAGTAAAAAGTGATCGAGGGTCAGAAATTTTATTTAAGGAAAAAAGAGTAATTGTGAACCATGTAATCTTTTCTTTATTAAGAAAAATAAAACAAGTCAGGTAATTATTCCAAAACGAACCTAAAAAAATGAGATGATTAATGTCGCAGAAAAGAGAGGGTCTGTCTTGAATGCTTAGTCTCAATCATCATATCATGTCGCACGCACGTATATGTAAAGTGTGTCTTTTAAGATCATCATCATCATACTCCCTCATTAAACTTTTTCAATTCATTTAATTTATTCATTGGTATAGAAATAAAAAATAAAATTTACATATAAAATAACTACATAAAAAAATTTTCAAAATAAGAGGTGTTAAGAATATTTTATTTTATCAAAATACCAATAAAAATGTAAATATAAACAATAGTTTCCGCGACTACTGAAAAAGTAAATGTTACAAATATTTATGGACAGAGAAAGTATTATTTTGTATTCGAAATTAAAGTTTTGCACTAAGATTTTGTACATAACCTTTTAGTAGTATCAAAAAATTTAGTGTTTACATATATTTTGTACTGATGTGAGTCATCAACATGTCAATGTAAGATTTTGAAGTATAAATGAGGTACATGTAGTGTACAACTAGCATGCTTCTTAATTTAATTTACTCCTCAGATCAATGGCAGAACAAGAATGTATTTACGAAAGGAACACCAAGTAGAGTACGAGAAAAATTGGGGGTACCGCTCTTAGGTACCATGAATACCATCTATGTCCCAATATATTTATCTAGTTCGACTTTTTAAACCAAAACTAATCAAACTTTAAACTTCAATTGAATAAAATCAAAAAACTGACAAAGACGTTTGATAGAATAGTAGCAACCTTATCAAGATATTGAGTCATAGTTTTTGTACCTTTAGGAAGAGTGTACTGATTATCTCGAAGTTGATAAAAATGAGCAGTGGACACAGAATCATATCGTGTTGCTAAAGCATCCTAGAGAGCAGCAGGATTAATGAATTGAAGTCCCGAGCATGTTTGTCAATAGTACTCGTTTTGACTTTTGACATATTTAAAAACAAGTCAACTTTTTAGTTGCTTTTACAATTTTATCCTTTGATGCATGTGATAGGTGTAGAGTGTAAAATGTAATGGTTAGATTAACAGTGAATATAGACAATGTAAGAGTGAGAGAGTACTCCCTCTCTTCTAAAAAAGAATTCATATATTTGACTAAGTGTAAAAATAAAGAAATATTAAATTGTAGTTGACTTTCATTTTTGCCCTTGATGTGATAGGTAAAAGTAAAATGTGATGAATAAATTATTAGCGAAAAAATATGATGTGATAGGTAGGGTATGAAAAAGTAAGGATAAAAGTGGTTTTTAATAGAAAGTGGAAGTGAAAAAAATAAAAGAGAAAGTGTTTTGATAACGAAGGGAGTAATAATTAGGATAAGTAAAACTGAAAGTGTTTTGTGGATAGAAAATATATAAATATAATAGGGAATTTTTGTAAAACGAAGAGTAATAATTTTTATTTTTAGATTTTACGTTTGGAATTTAAAATTTTCATTAAAGATATCTAATAAAAAATCATAGCTATAATTCTTAATACAACAATTAAATCACATTATATGTTACGCGTTATAATCCAATACAAAAATAAAACATTTGGTGGTCGTATCTGCACAACAAAATGCAATTTTTTTTTGCACAGAGCATGAGATGC